AAACATTACAAAAGAATAAAAATATTGTCGAGGAAAAGAAACTGTTTTTGCTCAGCCGTACTTAAGTGGCTATCTTACGTTATCTAAATTCAAACAATTTATGCACAACGAAATCATCTTGATTGATGTATCTAATTATTTCGCATGCTATTGAAATCGCATGCTTTGACTATATTTCGTTTGTGTTAGTTGACCATCCAACCATACTTCTCAAGTGAGCAATATTACAAGCCACCTTATTTGTATAACTCAACTTGCTGCTTCACTTTGTTTTTCACGAAATTTTCCAATAATCTATATTGTATTTATCTATTGCTGTCTTCTATGAAGAATAAGAATGACTTCAAGAATTTTGTTTTCACTCAATTTATTATTGATTGAGTGTAGTTGTTTTGTAGATGTTTATTGTTTTAAAGTCAACAATGAAACTTATTAAACATGATGTATTTGTTTTCATGTCTTACTTTGAGTTGTACATTTTCAAACGACATGAAAACGACGTGAACTTTAAAACTTCACACAAAAAAAAATGACAACCTTATTGGTATTCACAGATTTATCTTAAAATGACACATTACCGTCTAGTAGCTTGTCCGCTTAAATTGGCAGTATTTGGCACAATGAGAAATGACGAATTAGTGTGAAATTTCAACTGAGTCTTGATGATCGTTGAATAAGCGGTTATCTTGTTTGATATCTATTAGAAATCCTTTCCTTTTTTCATTTTTCTTTCTTTTCTCTGATAAAGTTTATTATATTGACATGAAATGATTTATAGTGAAGTGAAACCAAAGGTGTCCATCGATCAAATGTAACATCAATTTAGATCAGATTAATAATTAAAGATTAATAGTTTGCAGATTTTCACATGTTGTTCTCGGGAAGGAATCAAAACCGTTGAAAGTTTTTATGAGAAGAATCAATTTCGTTGATTCTTTATTTTAAAAATGGTCTAATATCTATGCGAAGAGAAAAATAAATTGCATAAACTTGATAAAGTATTTATTTAGTTTTCTATCGAACATTTTTGGAAATATTCAATATTATACATTTGAAGCTGTTAGAAAAATCGATCCATACTGAATTTCATCTTTTAAGATAAATTCTTTTCTTTGACTTCATTCGACTGACGTTCAAAGTTGAGCCATTTTGCCAAGGCTATTAAAGTTTCTTTTGCATAAACACGAGCGAACCATTCAGAAGGCACCGTTTGATAGTAGAGTGCACCACCGACTTGAAGATAGAGTGTAACAATAATTGTCTGATTTGAATCATAGGGATTGAGCCATTTACATTCTTGTTCTATCGAATGATTGAAAGCAATCGCTTGTTGGACACCCTGCTTAATATTATTGTTATCGTTTCGAAGAAGATCGATCAATTGTATTAAGGCAATACTCATAGGATCACGTTGATCCGTCGAAATTTGAATTGACTGGAGTATTTTCTCTTTCGTGTGACCGTTAAGAGCACTGACAAGTAGTTCAATATAGGCGACAAAGATTTCCATAGATATCTCTTGACCAAACATTGCTCGAATGCAGTTGGTAATTACTTTAAGACGGACCGAAGGTAAATGATTCGCATAGAAATAGGCAATAGGTGAAATACGAAGAAGAGCAGCAGCTGGAGGAGGCGGAGGAGCCGTATAACTTTTCTCATCGGTAATCACTCCGATGGATTCAGCAGCTTGGATAATACTCATCTGTTCAATGGTTTGTTTGATGTGCACAGGTGGAGTGAAACAGACACCTGTTGGTGACATGAAACTAAAATGTTGCAATCATATTTTTATTGAAATATTGAACTGAGAAAAAATAATAATCTTACCCATTCATCCACCAATTCATATATTGTTGCGTTAGATGTTCTCTTGAATAACCTCCATAATGAGTCAAGCTAACAATAAAACATAACGTAAGTGAAACGTCATCTGACCAGACTAGACACAAATCGGCTTGATCAGAACATTCACGTTCTAGTTCGATATGATCGAGAAGATATTTTTCAATCGAATAATTACTTAGATTGTCTCCCAAGGTTAAACAAAGGATGGATGTTAGGAGACGATCATTGTTGTTGCTAACTGGGGGATCCACAGATGACATCTGA